CATTACCCTCTCGGGGGCCTCCACTTCTCTCCCCTAGGCCATAGCGGTCCCCTGTCCCAATGACAGGGGCCTCAGCTTCTCTTCCAGTAGATCCTATACCCGTGCAAGAGCTGCAGCCAAAGACAAAAAGCAAAAGCATGTAGTGATGAAGACTAAAGACTCCCCAGAGAAGTGCATAGCATCTGGTCCACTGACCTAAAACGTGCTCAGTTTAGGATGCAGCATATTTTTATGTGATTTAATTCTGGAGTTAAATTTACAGTCAGGTCCCTAGAAGAGCAGAGAAAGAGAGATGGCCTCCTCCACTCTGAAGGGTTCAATCCAACACTCATATTCCTCTTGGTGAGGCACAGTGTCTGTGTAACGGAGGGTAATGTCTCTGTCTCTGTCTCTGTCTCTGTCTCTCTTTTTAAAGCAGATCCTAAAAGCTATACCACAGAGCATGTCTGCTGAGCTCTGGCAGAGAAATCTCTGAGAACCATGAGGCATAGCAACTCCCAGCTGCATTTGGCATTGCCCTTACATCCTGAAAGGACCTAAAATCTTTCGCAGGCACTAGGACTTGGCTGTCCATCATTATCAATGCCACATAGCACAGCACTGGGGTCGTGAAAGGCACCGTGGAGACCAGATCAGAAGAGCTGTCTGGTGCTCTGTTAGACCCTCACGTGGGTCAGAGAGCTGTGGCAGCAGCCACTGCCAACTCCTTCTCTGCTGACCTGAAAAACTTTTCTCTGGATTCAATTCCAAACCTTTTCCTGTGTTGCAGTCACATTTTTGTCCTCATTTTGGTCAGTGTATACACTTTATAATGTTCCTTTTATCCCTGCTCAGATGGTCTCAATGTCTTCAAGCATACAAAGCCGCACTTAGATCCTGCTGCTCATTCACATGGCCTCTCAGGATGCCCCTTTGGACTGGAACCGTAGGTTCACGTTTTTATTGTCCCAGGCTGATTGCCTGATGGAGAAGGTGGACCAGACACTCAAGTAGTTTGCTTTCTGGAACCCTAGCAGGGTTACTGGAGTCCCTCCCTAACAAGTTTGGTCACAAATGCAGGCCACCTGCTGCAGATATTGCGATGTAGCGTGACCTGAGAAGGGTTACCGTGTGCCTGAAGGAAAAGCTACCCACAGCTAGTCTCCTTACTCAGGGGAAAGGTTTGCCAGCCACCCTGCAGCTGTACCCCCGCCCAAAGTGTCAGCCGCCACAGCCCCAGAAAACGTAAAGCATGAAGCTCTGCCCCAACATTACAGTGACTGGCTACTAACATAGTTTCCCACTGTCCCCTGACCCGAGCCTGAATATTCTTGGGTAAGGCCATTGGTGGCTATTTCCCAACCGATAGTAAAACTCCCGTTCTTGAGAATGGATGTTTTTCCTGCTTACGATTTGTAGATACTTATATCACTCTGTCTGCCTTAAGCCCACGACACCTATCATTCTTGAATCGCTCTTGCTGACATAGAATCAGGTGCTATTGCATTCATTAAGCAGCTAAGTGCACCTGCTGATTCAAAACTGGACGTTTGGTGGGAGCACGGGCTCTCTTTCCCTCACTGTTATAGGATCTTCAAGTTTTGAAACCATGTGTGGCACTCAGTGGGTGCTATTTATTTATTCAGATATTAGCTGAAGCGGGCATGCAGGGGGAGTTGGACCCTGTTTGCCCTTCTTGCCTTCTCCCTGATTTTGTCCCCTGTCTAACCAGACCTGCGCTATCTCCAGGCTCTTCTAACCTACCTTGCTTCCCATGTTGCTTCTGCACAACATGATAGTCTTGCCCAGACCAACATGATTTGTATTTACCTGCTGATTGCATAGGGTTGGAGGTCAAGTAATCGTTGCTCTATCCTGCCATTTTACTGAAGGTCCAGGGAAGGAAAGTGAGTTACTCAAGATTATAGAGCACGTCTTATATGCTGGTGACGGCTACACCTGCCCTGTCCCTTGGCAGATGTGCGCCTTTGGTTGAATGTGGCCAGCAAACGTTACCCAGAAGCCTCTTTCATGTCTTGCCTGTGCCCAGGTTTCCTGAGCACCTGGAGCCAGTGTTAATAGTATTTCTCAGTTCTTGTAGAATAATCCTGTGTTCCTGCACCCCCTACCCCCCACCACCGCCACTTTTTATTCTCTGTTAATGTAATTACATCAGTACGGGCAAGTGTTTCTGCCAAGTTATCACTTCTCATTCCTCAGTAAAAACAGTTTCCCAAGCCACCAGGAAGGAGCTTTCTGGCACCAGCATCAGCCATTCAGCACCTGAGACTTTTGCCCCTGGTTTAAGTTTCCTTTCATGCTGAGGGTCCTGATTTGGCCTTGACTGTTTCAAGAACAGTGACTAGTGCTTGACTGAAGTAAGCTGTCATCCAGCCAACCTTTGACAGTTGCTGTAGCACAGCAGATTAAATACCTTGGAAAATACTATCACCCCAAGGAAATAGTAATCCGGTCCTAACTAGCTTATTGGAGTGAGAATGATGATGAAATGTATATAAGGTATAGTGCAAAGTCACTTGGTTGAGTATTTAGGAAGAGATATGGAATCAGAATTAACACAGATTTAGTACCTGGGTAACTGGGAGAATAACTCCATTGGGAGGGAGGAAGGGAGAGAAAGAGGGAGAAGGGAGGGATATAGGGAAAGTGCAGGTTTAGAGAGAAGATAAACTCAGTATGGAACATGAGTAGAAGTTCCACCAAACATGCAGATTGTGTTTAGCAGACAATTGGAAATACAGAGCTAGAGGTCAGAAACGAACTCTGGGACAGAATTTTATTATATTAAAATCCCAAGAAGTATCCATATCAAGCCACAACATTGTCATATGCATAGGGTGAGAGATGAATAGAGCCATGGGACACATTTAAGGAAGGGCAGGGGAGAGAGGACTGTAACCTGAAGAGGTTAAATTAGGGCATTTATGTCTTTTAAATACGGGTGGCAGTGGGGGGTGGGGCAGGCCAAGGAAAAGGATAGAGTGGGGTGGGGCCGAGTAAAGATGCAGGAGAGGGGTGGGGAGGCAATTTCTGGATCGGAGTGCAGAGCCCTTTGAGCTTGAAGTACCCAATTTCAGTGTAACAAGAGTAAAGAAAAAAGTATGGAGACATTCGGATGAGAAGAAGGAAGTTGAGGCAACTTGTGTCCCACAGAGAAAGCTATGTCCCTACAAAAATGAGGTGGGCACAAGGGACTGAGGGCGCGAGGGAGGTGGGAATAATTGGAAGCAGGAAGTAAATACCCGAGGGGATACAGGCATCTCCTGCAGGTGAGCCCAAGCCGGGGGAGCCACAGTGGGGTGGCATGCACCGAGGCCAGGCACCCTGGTTTAGTGGTTTTTCTACTGTAGTATCAGCAGTTTGGGATGTGAAGCAGGAACGAGAGGGGGGAGGACAGTGAAAAAGAGCATCTGTCTACTAAGTGGGGATCTGAGCAGGGCGTCCAAGTCAGGGAGAAAGGGGCAGAAAGAGTAGGCAGTGAGAAGCGAAGGAGTCAGGGGCTCGGGGCTCGAAGTGACTGAGGACAGAGCGGGGGGGTGTGCGTAAAGGTAAGGCTGAGATTAAGTTTGGTCTGCGTAGATCGATACGTAGTAAGGTTTCCCAGGCACATTGGAAGCTGGAAATCACTGTATAAAAATGACCATTACTGCCCTACAGCCATGGTGTGGTTCCCTGTTCTTAATAGTTGTTATTCTTATACTGTTCGTTTCAACTCTGTTTTTTCTCTTCCCATTTGGCTTGAACATCCTGAGATTTCCTACCCACTCCTGTTCTGAGGTCAGCCTTCTAACTCCTTTCATTTTAGTCTAGGCCCATGATCCTCAGCCTTGGCTGTACACTGGATTCTACCCAAGGAGCTTTAAAAAAAAGAAAGAAAAAAAAAATACAGGTGCCTGAGCCCCATCCCAGAGAATCTGATTTAATGGGCCTGGGATTTTTTTTTTTTTAAACCTCCCCAGGTGATATTCCCACAGGAGAAATGGCTCCCATTAATGCGTTGCCATATTGGGAACTGCCTGATGGGCACACGAACACTTCTCTAACGAGGGCCATGTTACAAGCATGGCTAAGCACAGGGACTCTGGAGTCAGATGCCTGGGTTCCAGTCTCAGCTCTGGGATCCCAGGCAAGCTCTGTGTTATCTAAATCCTCAGGTTCCTAATCTGATGGGAATAATCACGATGATACCTACAAAAGTGTTAAGTCAGATAATGTAACATGCTTATTATTAGCACAACGCCTGGCACATAGAAAGTACTCAAAACATTCAGTTGTTTTTGTTAATATTTATGTTGAGATTGTGTCAACATTTTTTTCTAATATGCTATTTTTCCCATAGAACCACCCAAGTTGAATTTAATTTCTTCCACCCGCTATTTATTTTTTGTCTATGCATTGCTTAATGAAGGGAAATTATAGACTGTTATTTTTAAATTTTATTAAAAAGCTTCATGATTGTAGTGATTACATTTAGGAGGACTTGGTGCTATAGTGAAAACTGGCAAGGATTACTTTTCTAAACATTTAGCTGAGTTTTAATTTGCTTAGTAATAAAGGCGCCCCAGGTGGCTGTGTCGGAAACCCACAGATTCCATTTCATAAGGGCGGAGTGTGGACCACATGTTCTCTAGAATCTCACTCTGGCAGCAACCTGGCCAATGGTGGTTCAGTTATATCCTTTACTTTTTCTCAAGACTGTTTATGCAGCACCTCCACAGTATTTATGCCATGTAATTATTGTTTTTAAGTGTTTTTAAAAATAAACAAAAACCCCGTAATCTGCCCCTTATGCCTGTCATTCAGCCTGGCAGGTCCATAGTGGGTTAGCCCTACCTTTCTGATTCGATGCCTGCCTCCACCACAAAATGATTATCCAGAGGTAAAAACTTGTGCTAAAAACACCATTAATAGTTTTTAATGATGTTAGCGTACTTGCTTACAAGCAGGGACATTGGTCATCTTCGTGTTGTTATTTATGCAGCATTAACCTTTTTCTCCAGATCATTGAGACTGAAAATATGATGGACCGAATTGTGACTGGCTTGTCTGAGTCTAGTGTCAAGGTGCGATTAGCTGCTGTCAGGTATGAGCTTTAAATGGTCTGAATAAAAATCCTTTGCTGTGTGTTTAACCTTTTCCTTCCCGGACCTTCACCAAGTAAGCCCAGAATCCAGATGTAACTCAAAAGTATGCCCAGGTGAATTTTTAAACAGAGAAGCTAGCCTGAAAAGCCCGTGAAAGGTTCTGACTTAGTTGAATTAACAATGTCTGTAGATATACTTGAAGTATATATTAGTAATTGTGAAATGCCAGCGTGTTTGAAAAGTAAAAGTTTCAGCTTCTTCAGGAGCTAATTTTGATTATTCTTTCTAGATGTTTGCACAGTTTATCTAGATCTGTGCAGCAGCTTCGAACCAGTTTCCAAGATCACGCCGTGTGGAAACCTTTAATGAAGGTAAGAAAAGAAACGGGGAGCAGGTTACACCCATCCCCACAGAGCCTTTAGTGAGCTGACGTAGATGACAGCGCAAGGAGCATGTGTGATTTTTGTGTAGAGAGGGCATTTTGAACAATTATCTCCTCAAATCTCATGTTCTAAGCATCTTTAGATCTGCTGTTCCCTGTTCCTGAGGTCAGCATCTCATGTGTGACAGGGAAGTATGTGCCTTGGTTTTCTTTTTTTAAATAAAACTTGACTCATCTGACCTCCCTATGTGATTAGCATTACATTTTAGGCTTATATTCAGAGTTGTCTTTGTAATTTTTAGTTATAAAAGGAAAGGAATCAGCCATTTACAGATATAACCTGTTCTTAGTCTTCTGGCACTCCCTGGATATTTTTTTAGCACAACTGTCACCTGTTGCTTCTCTACTCCAAAATAACTTCTTTGATCTAAGGTCCTTCCTTGAGGGCAAAAAAAAAAGTTGCTCAGGTTAATTAAATCTTAATTGAGACTTACAGCGTGCATCAAGTTGCTGCTAAAAATATTCCTGATATATTACAGAACCGTAGGTCAACTTGACCTGTTTTGTTTACATTTTTTGTTTTGTTTTTAGTACCTACTAATGAAAGCCTCTGGCTACCAAAATTTGTATACTCTAGAGCTCCTGCCCTCAGCTCAAAGCTTGAGGTTACAGTAGGGGCATCAGTGTGAAATAGTCAGGGGAAGCTTCAGGCTGGATGAATATGGAGTAGGCTTTGGAGACAAAAGGAAGGCAGGAGGATTTTCCAGAGAGAGAAGTGGCATTAACAGAGACACTACATATGGTATGTGCAGGAACCATGAAGAATGCCCTCATGACTAATGGAGGGGTGGGCTATGAGCACCAGGGGAAGAGTTCGACCAATGCTCTCCGGTTAAGTGGTTTTCCTGTTGCCATTCTTTCTTGTCCTTAGGTTGTACCCTTTTCATAGCAGCTTAATCTTGATTTGTTGATTCTGTCCATTCAAGATTTTTTTTAAGCATTCCCTGTTTCCTAGAATAACTTCCATATTTTTCCTCTGGAATAATTTTCTCTGATTGCTTAGCCAAGAGCCCAGCCTCTATCGTATGAATCAGAAATGGAATAACGTGCTTTCTAACTAGTTCTACCTGGGAAAACGTTTGGTGTGCAACCTAGAAGGATTTTGTGGGCTTGGGTACATGTGGCGAAATTACTATCAAACTGCTACTGTTGCACATTTAAAGTATAGTATTAAAAGCTTGGAAGTAAGTCAGTAATTTATTTCAAATATTCCAGTTCCTCTTAGTTCAAAGATGGTTGCATGTCTTTTGATTCCCCTCCCCCCTTTTGCTTTTCCATGTTTTTGACTGTTGGTTAGCAAACCACAGAGTAGCCATTTGATTTTAATTACAAATTTTATTTGTGTTTATTTTTTGTTATTACTTTGGTGCAATTCTATTTGGTCAGCGTTAAATGTTAACTCCTGATTGCACGTGTTATATCTTACACTGCACTGAGTAAATGCTTTTAAAAATTTCATAGAGTCTCTTCTGTTTTAGTTTATCCTTAAATGTTATCTAATTTGAAAATAATCTCTATAAAACAATAAAGATAGTTAAAAAGTGAATCATATTAAGCAAAGCAACTTTTTAAAGCCTTGGTAGGTGCTCGCTTATTTCAACCAGTGATTCTTAGTAGTGTAATTTTGGAAAAATGATTATTTCTCTTATTTCACAAACATTCATGGAGTACCCAGTTTGTGAAATGCCATGTGGTCGATATAGGTCAGGATACATTAGACCGTAGATATATAGACTATTCCTTCAGAAGCTTAAGTCTGGTAATGGAAAAAGAGATGGGCATGGCTACTCATAGAATTTGAATAGTGAGGACAGTAATAAGGGTCCTAGGATGTCACCAACAATGGAAGTGGCTGCCCAGAGGAGGACAGAATGACTTCTGACTGGAAGGGCTCTAGGGGGGCTTCTTGAATGGAATGGTCTTAAAGCCGAGTACTGAGGTGCACCAGAGATGCAGGAAGGTGATCAGGGTCTTGGAGGGGATTGTGGCAGACGCAGAGATCAGCATGCATAATATATAAGATTTGAGCTTCAACAATTCACAGGAGAATTAATACACAATATGGTAGAAGAACTGCCACTATTTTGTAATTCTTGCTTATGCTTAACTTGGGAACTTCAGACTTGCTTTAGCTGAAGAAAGCAGATAATAAATTTAACTCTAAATTTTTTTGTGATTCTCCATTTCAGGTTTTCACAGCTAGAGCTGCTAGGACTCCTTTTGGGATCATAAGCCTGATCCTGCTCTGATCTCAAATGCAAATGATTTAAATGGAGTGGTTTTTGCATACAAGTGGTAGTGTTTATGAAGCCATCTCCCTTAGAATCTAGAAAAAATGGGTTCTGATAATAGTTAAGGGTGACTAACATTTGTCATCATGCTCTGTTGATGCCGTGAGGGTGCATGGCATTTAGTTTCCTGTATATTAATACCTACCATAGGCCTGATACTGTGCCTGATAAGAACAACAGTATGGCAATAAATTACCTTTTTGAAAACCTTACTTATATAGTCATTACTGTGTGCCAGTTACTGTTCCAAAATCTTTTCATTTATTAATTCTCACAACCCCATGAAACAGGTACTGTTATTATCCCCTTTTTACAGCCGAGGAATTCATATACGTATTTAGTGGTTGAGCTGAAATTTGCAGTCACGCAGTCTCTGTTCTTAGCTTTTATGCCATACTGCTTCCCTTATTATTCACATCACATTTATCCTAAATAGTCCTGTCAAGGAAGTGTTGTTTTCCTTAATTCCTCAATTTGCAGGCTTAGAGAAGTTGAGAAATGTACTCAAGTGCACACATCTAGTAAGTGGAGGATTGAGGGTTGGAACCAGGGCTGTGTGATTGCGGTCTCGAGAACCAGTTCCCCACATTACCCTGCTTGTGGAGTGGCTTGATCCATCCATGCCCCTTGTCAAACAGGTCCTTCTAGGGACACGTTAGGAAGTCCTGGGCCCTAGGTGGTTTCATAATTGGCCTGATACGATGAAGTAGAATAAGCTAAACTGCCCCAAAGCAGCCCCATGATCTTCAGACTTTACATAGAACACCCCCCACCCCCTGACTCGTCTGTCTCCTTTTCCGTGCAGCAACCCCATCCTGGCCGTGGGGCTGTAGCTCCTCCAGCAAGGGCCTTAGTCATAATTATAGCTCTAAATAAAGGCCGACCTGATAGCAAGTGGAGCTTTCCTAACCATCTCTCCCATATGAGAAATCAGGTTGAAAGATAAATTTTTTCTCTCACTTATTCTTATGATCCCAACTTCATGTTTACAAACCATTAACAGTATCCCTTTTTTTAATTCCATAGGTTTTACAAAATGCACCAGATGAAATTCTAGTAGTAGCATCTTCCATGCTATGTAACCTTCTTCTTGAATTTTCTCCAAGCAAAGAGGTTTGTATTGATTTTCTCTCCCTGGACATTGCTTGGTATTACCAAGCAATTATTAGTCAAATAATTTTCACAGTAGTTGACATTGAAATTTGAAGTTTGGTTTTAAAAACTACTTGTGGTTTGTTTAAAGATGGGTGGCAGCAAAATAAATTATTTCAGATATGGTTATCATAATTTCCTATTATCCCTTTTATTCTACCTGGCATATTCAGATTATTTAAAAGATATTACAAGTTACAGTCACTCTAAGTGGCCTGCAACTGCGAATGTAAGAAATAATTACACAAATAATAGACTATTTTCAAGCTATATTTACGAAAGAATAAATTAAGACTGTTTTGTAAACCAGGATTATACGTAAGTCATTTCAAGGATATAACTGCTGGCAACAGAAAATAATCTTTTTAATGTTTAGTGTTAATGGTAGTTGTTTGGGGAAGGATTAAATGTGGAGATATCTTCCCCTTTAACACATTGTATAAATTACTTGAGCATGTATTATTTTTATAAGGAAAATTACAGTAAACTTTAATAAAGGAAGGAGGAAACCTTATACAAATAATTTGTCCTGGTAACATATCTCTGGTCTGCCCAATCATGAACTGAGGTTTAGACACTGTCCTTTATTGTGCATTTAGCAGTCCCATTTTTGGTAAATTTCATTTCTGCATTATAATCCCTGCAGGCTTTTGACTATTATTGGTAATTAGGAAGGCGTTAGGAACAAGGTGGAGGTTCAGAGACAGTTAGCTGTTCAACAAGCAAAAATCTTGGAACAAAAGGGGAGAGAGGGATTTGGAGGGAAGGCAAAGGTGAGATAAAATGCGAGAGCTTCCACCTGTTCTTCTCTGCCCTGGTGGTAGTAATCTTGATCTGATGACAATCTGTTTGCAGGCAGTGTAACACCATTAATCATCCTACATAGCTGTTATGTTGCCTCAGATCTACCTTCAAAATATTTAGGGTCTAGTTATGAAGTCAGGTAGATGAGCTCAGGCATAGGATCATTAATGCAATTAGTTTTCCATATTAAAAATAAACTGTACTATAGTTAATAAAACTGTGTTGTGTATTTGAAAGTTGCTAAGAGTAGCTCTTTACAGTTCTCATCGCAAGGGACAAAAATTGGAAGTATGTGTGATGATGGATGTTAACCAGACTTATTGTGGTGATCATTTTGCAATAAATACATATATTGAATAATGTTTTACATCTGAAACTCATAATGTTATATGTCAAGTATATTTCAATAAAAATAAATAAATAATCAACTGGATCTTGAGCTGGAAGGGGAGGAAAGCCTATATTATTGGGCCAGTTGACAAAATTGGAATATGGATTATCAATTCAATCAAAATACTGTTTTAGTATGAATTCTCTGAATTTAGTAACTCTTCTGAGATTATATAATAGACATCCTTTTTCTTAGGAAATACACATTGAAGTCTTAAGGGGAAAAGGGCATGACGTATGCACTCTACTTTTAAATAGTTCAGAAAAGATAAATAATGTGGCTATGGGTGTATAGAACAAGAGATAATGATAAAGTAAATATGACAAATGTTAAAAATTGGTTAATTTGGGAAGAGAATATGTGGAAGCTCCCTATATTCACCTTTCTACTTTATAAGTTCGAACTTATTTCAAAATAAAAAATAAAATACCACATTTTTTACAAGTGGAAGGATGTCGAAGAATTTCCTTCAAAAATGTCATCGTGAAAGGCACTGTCCAATTGCTAGGTATTTAAGTCTGAAATGCTTAAGACATTTCTAGGATCCCCTTCACAGATGGCCTTTTAAGTATTTGTGGTGATGGTAAATCAGTCCTCTAACATTTTAATTTTTTAGAAATTATCAAAACCCATTTTCAGCTGAGTATCATAAATTAAGTGGTCAGGCGAACGCGTGCTATTCTAGGTGTAAGACGTGGTATGACTATAGAAGTACAAGCCTGCTTGACTTGTATGATTGAGAAGTAGTCTTGAAAGTAATTCTAAAAGATGAATTCTGCAGCATATTTGGAATAAGGTTGACTATTTGGAAGGGGGATAGTTAGGGTCTTACGTTCCAATCTAAATCAGACTATTGCTTCATAGTCACAGCTTGTAAACAGCACATGAGATACATGATACACAAAGCAGGAGAGATGGAGTCTCAGAGGATGGTGAGAATCAGAGCGTGGAACTAGATAATGGAATCATAAGGAGTATGTTCAAAATATAGACGATTAGGATAGCTCATGAGTCTTTCAGGACTACAGGGAAAAAGAAAATCACAGGGATTATTTATATTTCGGATTGGAGAGAGAATAATTGTCCTTGCCCTTCTCAAGGTGATTTTTATGGCTCCCACACTCCCTGCTTTGTGAAAGCTACTTGGAATTGGGAAAGAAGTCATAGGCAGAGTGTCAGGGTGTGTACACATTCGTTTACAAACCTGACTTAAAGCTGTGTTTTTTGTTGTTGTTTTTCTTTTCCAATGACAGCCGATTTTAGAATCAGGAGCTGTAGAACTACTTTGTGGATTAACCCAAAGTGAAAATCCTGCTTTACGAGTGAATGGAATTTGGGCTCTGATGGTATGTTTCTCTCTTTTTATGTATGTCACCATTTATAAAGAGAATAGAGCTATTTTCAAAATTCAAACTAAAGAATGTGTTATTTGAATTTTCTTTTTGGCAAAATCTTGCTATTTTAGCCCAGTTTTCTAATGGCGTAGAACTTAGAAGACTCCATATGCAGCTTTCAGATTTGAATATAAGCAAGTTGCATGGCTTACTGTGTGCCTCCCTTCTCCTATTTATTACGAAGAAACGTGGACAGATGTTGAAACTTGACTTACCTAATTTTGGGAAAACAAATTTTCCCAAATTTTGACATCACGAACATATTGATATCTGTACAGAGCCCCCTACTTTACAAAGCACTGTGTGTCTCCTTTGCTCTTATAACAACTTGGTGAAATAAGCTAGGGAGTGTTCATATTTTGCAGATGAATAAGGCACAGAGTGGTTAATAACTTGCCCATGGTGGTACATAAAAGCTTAATAATTTCTTAAGTTTCTAGTAAATAATTTATAATAATCTAAATGTTAAAACTTCATAACTGTGAAGCCAGAGAACCATTTTTCCTTAAGAGATATTAAAAATAAAATTAATTGAAATTGAAAATAGAGTAATCCTACATGGATTTTTAAAAACATAATTATAGTAACAATTGAATTACTATGTACCAGACACTAAGCTAGGTGTTTTATACTTGTTATCTCTAATTCTTATTTTAAGTTACACGAGTATATACCCACCTTGCAAGTGGGAAACTGGGAATCAGGGAGGGTAAATGTCCAAGGCCCCACAGCTAATCAGTGATGGAAGTGGGTTTGAACCTGTCCCAAGCCCCTATTGTTAACCCTGTTCCAGGTTATATCTGCTGTCTTTTCACACAAACTTTGGGATAGACATAATGATCTTCTAAAAGTCACTGAATCCAGCTTCACAGTTGTTTTTTCTCCTTAACTTTGCACCAACTTTTAGCACCTTTCTTTCTTGAAAGTCTTCCCCAGGACTTAATTATTTTTTAATCTTTATTAAATTTATTGGGGTGACATTTGTTAGTAAAATTAAATGCTTCAAGAGTATAATTCTATAATACATCAGCTACATATTGCATTGTGTATTCACCACCCAGAGTCAGTTCTCCTTCCATCACCATATATTTGACCCCCTTTACCCTCTTCTACCACCCTCCCCTCCCCCCTTACCCTCTGGTAACTAAACTGTTAGCTGTGTCCATGATTTTTTGTTTGATTGTTTGTCATTCTTTTGTTGTTTTCAGTTTTATATCCCACATATGAGTGAAGTCATATGGTTCTTGACTTTCTGTCTGACTTTATTTTGCGTAGCATGATAATCTCAAGATCCATCCATGTTGTTGCAAAAATATACAGTGAAGAAAAGACAGCCTCTTCAATAAATGGTGCTGGGAAAATTGGAAAGCCATGTGCAAAAGAATGAAACTAGATTGCTATCAACCATATACCAAAATTAACTCAAAATGGATTAATTCCTTTTTTACCTCACTTTCTGCCTAGCCTCCTTCTCAACAGCCTGCTCAGGGGACATTCCCCCAAGTTTCAATTCCTGATTTCCGAGTCCCTTTACACTTAAGTTTCAGGGATTTCATTGACTCTCATGGTTTCAATTCCCACTAACAGAAGAGGTTGCTTTGAAATACACATATCCAGACGTAACTGTCCCCTATCTCCCAATTTTATCACTTAAACAACCTATGGGACTTTATTTGAGGGCCCCCTAACATGTAAAATTTTAGTGTTGACAATTGAACTTATCATTCCACTCTTCAAATCCATATTAATGTCTTACGCTAATCAATCTCCATATTATCAGCTGTTATGTTCTCTATCCACAAAGTATAAAACCTTGTAATCATGTCTCTTGACATTCAGCCCAATACTGTTTTTGCTCTTCCATGCCACCTTTCATCATTAAGTGACTTGATCTTTCATGTCTTAGCTCCTTAATTAAAAATAAGTTCCTGGGGGGCTGGCCGAGTGGCGCTTTGGTTAACAGTTGGCTTGGCAACAAGTGGCAGAATGGCTCAGCAAAAAAAAAAAAAAAAGAAGTTGGCTTGGGACACCAGCTCTGAGCAGCGGGACCCCATTTCAGATCCCACATTAGGGCCAGTGACGCTGTGTCCTCTACAGCTAAGATGGTGAACAACAGCTCAACCTGAAGCTGGACTGGAGCTGGAGATGGCGTAGGCTGCAGTGGAACTGCAGTGGGTTCCTGTAAGCTACCGTGAGCGGCCGGCAGCCGGGTGAGCTGCCAAGAGCTGCCATGAGCAGCCGTCCAGTGACCAGCGAACGATCTGCCTCACCCAGGAAGAGTGCAGTGATAATACCAACATGGGCCAGTGAAGCGACGTCCTCCACAGCTAGACTGAAGAGCAAAAAGGACAGCAGCTTCTCTGTTCCCTCTCCCCGATTCCCCAATGCTGTTCCCCTCCCCCAATTCCCCAATTTAAAAAAAAATCTTTAAAAATAAAATAAGTTCCTGGAGGGCAATAGCCACATATTTCAATGAGTCTCTAATTTATAAGAGCTTTTTGTACCGAAAGTTGATTTGTGAGTTATTTCGAATTTGCCTTTTTTTTTTTCTTTCTTCATACCTATTATTATAACTCCAGGTTAGACTAAAATAATAATGTGTCCATAAAGCAGAAAAATAGCTACTGGCCATTTGGGGTTGATAGTGGGGTTGCTTGGAAATACCTCCTACCCGTCTAGAGAGCTTCTTGAATTTCATGGCCTAGCCATATCTTCAGCTAGCATTGTATTGTGAACACAATAGGTGTTTCATACCAGTAAAGTTAACAAATGTACTACTTATTTTCACCCATAATAAGTGAGTACTTTTAAGTAATTCTCAAAATGCATGGCACAGTATAGTTGTTTATAGTCATTTTGTCATTAAAGTACAGAGAAGACAACTTGATAACCACAAGGATATTCTCAAAAGTAATAGTGGATTTTGTATTTATTTGATAAATTTTAAGACACTCAAATGCCTGTGTCAAGAAGTGGTCATGTTCCTCATACAAGAGTGACAGTTATATATCTCTTGACAGAATTATAGATGATTAACAGGAATCAAAAATAATGTGACCTATATTTAAGGATTTTCTGCAGATTCTGTTAGTACTCTGAAAATTATAAATTACTATTAAAATATAATTAGGCAAATATAGACATGATTCTTGAAATTTCTTTAATCCTTTCAGAATATGGCATTTCAGGCTGAACAAAAAATAAAAGCAGATATTTTAAGAAGCTTGAGTACTGAACAGCTATTCCGGTTGTTATCAGATTCAGATTTGAATGTGCTGATGAAGACATTGGGACTTCTTAGAAATCTCCTCTCTACTCGGCCTGTAAGTAAAATCACCCAGGTTTCCAGATTAGCTACCCTTGCATATACATTGTAAAGCATTGCCCTGCCTCTCTGCTCCTGTCAACCTCTGCCCACAAGTGTGATTCAAAAACTCCTTCCTAGAAAAGCAAGGAGTTGATGTCCAGACCTGTCCCCTTCATAGGTATTCTGTGAGCTGCTTCACCATGTAGCCACCTGGTCCTCCATTCCTACACTGCCTGTCCCATCTCCCCCTCTTTCCTCCTTGCTGGATATGAGCCTGTCCTGATTTCTTTATTGTTACCTGGTTTGCTGGCCAGGGTGGGTTTTCTTATCTGCCTAAATCACTTGTCTCTGGGGCCTCTGCGTCTTTCACTTTAGAGACTCTTTCTCAGTGCCATTCATAGATACACACACACACACACCAACACACACCCTCCAGCACACATTTACAGGATTTGACCTCTGAAGAGGTCAGTGTGGAGAACAGTGGGTGTCAGAGCACGAAAGGCTGAGCCTTACTGTGGGGTCCCTCTCATAATGTTCCCTGAGCAACATTGTCAGTGGCCTTCATGTAGATGAAGAAACATGGGTGGTCCCTTTTCTGTGCTTCACTTGTGGTTGTTTTTTATTCGATTTATTTAAACTAAGAAAAAAACAAAAAACTCCAGAACAGTTCACCCATTTCTCCTATTCCCCACCTTCCTGCCTCTGGCAACCACCAAACTTTCTCTGTATTTATGAGCTTAATTTTTTTATTTATATAAAATATTTTTTATATATTATTTATATATAATATCACCTGATTTTTGAGTCTTTGTACATTTGTGCCCCAAAGATAGCAAATATACCTGTACCATACTTTCCATGTCTCTGGCTTCCCCTATCTCCTTCACCCAGTTTTAAGTGCCTCCTTTTTCTTTAATAGCTTTGGGCTTGAGGATCCCAAGTGATTGTAATTCTATATTCTATCTGGCCATGCCTATGTTCTCTTCACTTTTAAGTAATCAAAAAAAAAAATTTTTTTTTTGAAGGCAAAATGCAACTTCAAAATATAATAAACACTGTTCTTCAGCATCTAGTTCTATATGCTGTGGTGTTCACTTTGAAGCAGTTGTGTATTTAGAAGCCTTCTGTTCTTGCCTATGGTTTTTTCTTTGTTCCCCAGATAATAATTGCAGGTTTCCCGTTCTTTTACAGCATATAGATAAAATCATGAGTACGCATGGAAAGCAGATTATGCAAGCCGTCACTCTCATTCTGGAAGGGGAGCATAACATTGAGGTCAAAGAACAGGTATGTGTTCCCCTTTTTTGAGGAATACCTTCTGATTGTACCAAAAAAGATGGTCCACCACCCCTGACACGCTTCAAGAATTCTTCCTCCTGGAATAGGAAGAAACATGAGTTGAGTTTTTTATCCTCTGTGTCATACATTGTACACACTGTTCTTGTCTCTACAGGGACAGCCCCCTTTGATCATTCTAGAGTGAATCCTTTGCCAGGCCCTCTCTCCCACCACGCTGTGACCTCGAGTTCCTGCAACTCCCTGATGAGCTAATCCCTTATGCTGGAGACAGTTTTTGTTTCTTTACTTTTATGCATCTCTGTTCTTTATTCCCATCCCATACCCCAACTCCTTGTTGAGTATCAGTAGGGCAAGTTTAGGGTAGACATAAAAATACAGAAGCAGTGCATTCATCAGAGGGCAGTTTGGGAAGTACTTTTCTTTATATCCTGGGATTTATTGTAGGATTTTTAATATAGTATATATTTTATTTTGTTATTTTAAAAAAGGTCACCTACAAACTTAAAATTTTAACACAAGATCTGAAGTAAAGATAATGTTCAATTTTCTGGAATAGCTGTTGGCTACATGGGTGCGTTCACTTTCAAAATTCATTGAGCTATATATACACTTACATGTATGGAAGAAACCTGCCCAAGGTCATCAGTGGAGAGTTGGACCCAGAGAGTCTAATTACAGGGCTCATGTGCCTCATCCTCTGTGTTCCTGGGTTAGAGTCGTTCAGCTGACTTCACAAGAATAGTTCAGGAAGTAAGGGCAGCAGGACTTAGGAGCTGTGATTGAATATGTGAGCAAAAACAGGTGATAGATTGTTTGACACAGTGATTTTAAGATGGATATTTTACATGATTTAAAATTCAACAATAAACTATGTTTTTTGATTAACAAAAATGGAACACAGAAAAAAGTATAATCTCATAAGCATCACTGAGGCTAGGCTGAATGAGATTCAGTACTAGGACAATGAAGGAGACACATTGTTCAAAAGAAACTGTTCTACCTGGAGAGCATAGGAATGACTTCTGTCTATAAAGATAGCTCACCTATGTAGAATTCCACTAACTTGAAAAGTGAGGCAAGATTTGGATGAGGGCAAAAGAAAAGGCCAAAACAATAATGTGTTTTGGCAGAACCCAAATGATACTCTCATACAGGTTTTGGTGATGGTCCAAAAGTAGGCAACTACGGGAGGCTTTGTGTGGTTGTAAGCTGGGAGTTTAATTCTTCTCAAAAGCATCTGATAAATTCTGTTTTCTTTCTTTTTTTTTTTTTTTAAGATTTTATTGGGGAATTGGAGGAGGGGAACAGTGCTGGGGAATCGGGGAAAGGGAACAGACAAGTTGCTGTCTTTTTGTTCTTCATTCTAATTGTGGAGGATGTCACCTCACTGGCCCATGTTGGTATCATCATTGCGCTCTTCCTGGGTGAGGCAGATCGGTCACCGGCCTCTGGACGGCCACACACGGTAGCTCATGGCAGCCCACTGCAGCCTACGCCGTCTCCGGCGACTCAAGGCAGCCCATCTCCAGGTCGAGCTGTTGTTCACCATTTTAGCTGTAGAGGACAGTGTCACTGGCCCTCATGTGGGATCCGAACTGGGGCCTTGCTGCTCAGAGCCGGCGTCCCAAGCCAGCTCTTAACCAACACGCCACTCGGCCAGCCCTCTGTTTTCTTTTTTATTGAGGTATATTGACATACAGTAAGCTGCTTATAAATAAAGTACAGAATGTGATAAGGTGACATATGTATGTATCTGTGAAATGATCACCGCAGTCAAGATGGTGAACATATCTATCACTGCCCTTAGATTGGGAACAAGACAAATATGTCTGTTCTTACCACTCCTATTCAACATCGTACAGGAATTCCTACCAAGTACAATATGTCAAGAGAAAGAAAGAAAAGGCATACAGATTGGAAAGAAGTAAAACTATTCCCAGATGAAATGAATGTCTGTAGAAAATGCCATGTACTCATCAAAAAAGCTATAACTAATCAATGAGTTAAACAGCATCACATGATAGAAAAATCAGTTGTGTTTTATATATTAGCAGTGAACAAGTTGAAATTGAAATTTAAAAAACTACCATTTATAGTAGCTCAGAAAAAATGAAATACTTATATAGAAATCTCACAAAAATTATCAGTGTTTTGTAGTTTTTTGTATACAGAGGTTCAAGGTCAGTATATGAAAAATTACAAAACACTGATAATGAAAAACCTAAGACCTAAGTAAATGGCAAAATATACCATGTTAAAATGTCAATTCTCCCCAAGTTTATAGATTTAATACAATCCCAGTCAAAACCCCAACATGATTGTTGGTAAATATGAATATAGGTGTAAATATCTGAAACCTCTGTCTTTACAGATTCCAAAATCTGTTGGAAAGGCAGAGGAACTAGAATAGCCAAAACCCTTTTGAAAAACGAAAGAAAAGAACAACATTGGAGGATTCACAGTACCTGATTTCAAGACTTACTATAAAAGCACAGTGTGCTGTTAGCAAAAAGGATAGTACATGGAGATCAGCAGAACAGAATAGAGTCCAAAAATAGACCCACACAAATATGGCCAGTTGACTCTTGACAAAGGTGCAGAGGCAGTTCAATGGAGAAAGAATGGTCTGTTCAACAAATGGTTCTATAACAACTGAAAAAAAATTAACTTTGAACTCTGTCTTACACCTTAGACAAAAATTAACTCAAAATGAATCATAGACCTAATGTAAAAGGTAAAACTGTAAACTTTTAGAAAGAAATGCAGGAGAAAATCTTTGAGTTTTAGATTAGGCAAAGAGTTCTTAGACATTAAAAGCATCACCTAGCAAAGAAAGATAAATAGGACTTCATCAAAATTTAAAGCTTCTGCTCTGTGAAAGGCACTGTTAAGAGAATGAAATGATAAACCATTCAAGGGAGGGAAATATTTGCACGTCAGATACCTGACAGATGACTTGTGTCCCAAATATATAAACAACTCTTCAAAACTCAACAATAAGAAAACAAACAACCAAATTAAAAACTGAGCAAAAGATATGAACAGATACTCCCCCAAAAATATCACTACACATCTCTTAGAATGTCTACACAATTTTAAAAACAGACAACACAAAGTGCTAGCAAGGATCCAGAGCAAAAACAGTCGACTATTAATTCCTTCCCAGACTAATTACCCCAGTTAATTCCACCTGTCATGCTCATGTTTGTCCCTTTATAGGCTCTTTCCCAGAGACTAATCAAAAAGAGTGTATATCCACTATGATTAATTTTCTTAAGCATAATGATGGTATTATAGTGTGTAGGACAATGTCATTATTCTTAGTATATTCTAAAATACTTAGAGATGAAGAATCATGGTAATGTGCAACTTTTTTTTGAAATGGTTCAGAAAAAAAGACGTAAAGAAAAAATAAATACTCCTATATACATACACATACATGTTTGCACAGACCCTCACTCTCTAGAGCAAATTGGTACAACGTGTATGGATGCTGAATCTAGGTCTATGGATAGGTGTTCATTGCACTATTTGTGCTTTAACTTTTTTCAGAATTTAGTGACTTTTAATAATAAAAAGTTAGGGAAGAAAATAGGCCGAACCTGTTTATCACCCTTGCTGCCCCCTCATTCCTGAGAAATTGAAGGGTGTTGTGCCTGCCAAGACTTCTGACAAGCTCACCATGTGCCAGATCACTGCGAAATCTCACATCTCCCCCTGATCATCTCTCTCCCACTTCCAGGGCATGTCAAGGTCTCCTCATCATGGTTTAAGTGCCCTGGAATAGTTACCAGTACCTGCTCAGGCCTTGGAGTATAAATTGCATTTTCCGTGTCTCCTGTATCCCTGAGGCAGCCTTTCTTGGTTCAAACCTCAGGGCTCACTCCCTAATAGTTTAGTTACTGCTGTGTGTTAATCTGGGAAAAATAAGACCACTCACCCTTTGAGATATCTGAGGTTTGGGCCATAGAAAGAGAACAAGTCTCCTCAATTAGCTATCACCCACAAGCTTAATTAGCTTAAATGTAGCAAAGAGAAAGATTAAAGTTGGAGAAAATTATTTGAATTTAGACCCCATCCCCACCTCTGATCACTTCCTTTGCATGGTTCCTGACTGTGCTCCTGGACTCAGTGTCAGTCCCTCCAAGAAGTACTCTTTGACACAGTATCAAGCAAGTGTGCTTACTTTACTTTGTGTTTTCTTGGGTCCCTGTTTTTACCTCAGTCACATCACAGTGAAATGTAATTGTGTGATGGCTTCAAAGTTCAGGCGTGTGTCTTATTCCTGCCTTGTCCTGATGCCCTGTGCAGGACATGCATGTTATAGGTGCTTAGTAACGTTTGTTGACTTGCTAAGGCTGGCACTGGCTTGGTATCCCTACCACAGTCCTTTCACCTTTACTTTAATTCTTGCCTCCTGCTGGTCTGGCTGTGAGAGTGCAAGAGCTAACAAAAGCAGTCTCTCCCTCTGAGTTTCTTCCTCTGGTACCGATGTGATGCTTGTCCTCAAGATGTGTGTCCTGCCAGCTGGCACAGGCTCCTTCTGATCTCCACAGTAGTCCCACCTGGACTAAGCTCCTTCACACATTTTGCTTCCCTTTCTGTGCCTCTAATAGGGTTCAGAAAGTCAAGAGGTCCTAATTGCATATGGCTAATGGACAGGGTTCAGGCCTTTACCCAGGAGGTCACGTGCTTGGGCACAAGTAGCATTTGGAGGGAGAGGGAGCGGACAGGGAGTTGCAACACCTATGAAGCTTCCACCAAAGAGACACCTCTCTGAAGAAACCTGGTGGGTTAGTGACAGAAGCTTCCCTTAGAAGTAGAGTTTACAAGAAAATAGTAACAAATTATGTTTTCCCTTTGATTTATGTGATAGCATGAACTATAAGACATGCCTGCCTTTGCCCAGAGATGGCATATGCCCAGAAAGAACCCCCTGAAATATTTGGGTTCTTTTGGGTAGACTTTCCCTAGGCATGGTTACTTTTGTTGGCAGTGAGGCCACGGCGTGAGAAATAAAGGCCTTCAGAGTGGAACCTGTGAGAATCCACGCACTTCAGGGGAGAGATTGCCCAAGTTCTTGAGAGACCTTGAGCCTGGGGACAGAAGAGCTTTCCTGATCATTGGCCCTTTGTTCTTTTCCAGACACTGTGCATCCTAGCCAACATAGCAGATGGGACAACGGCAAAAGAACTCATTATGACCAATGATGACATCCTGCAGAAAATCAAGTATTACATGGTAGGCCTTTGTCCCTTTTCACTGTTCTTCTTCACTAGCTGCACATTAGAAGGCAGTGACTATAGCATTGTTAGGGCAAAACAAGCCATGCAGAGATTATCAAAAGAAGAATAGACTACTGTGAAATAGATTCAAGGAACTCTCTTCCATCCTAAAGAAAAGGAAACAACAGCAAGTCCTTGAAGCTCGTGCCATTGGCAGTATCACCACCAGCTCCACACTCCCACCCGTGTCATCTGATTGCGTGTTATTCAGTGGAGACTTGGGCCTTGGGCTTTCTCTCAGCCTCTGCAATCCTTGTCTTCCCTCTCAAGGCTTTCATCTTATGCAGATGACCCTCTGGCCTCTGGTACCTGTTCTTTCACCTGTTTGCTTTCAAACAAAATCTGCCACCTACTTCCAAACATCTCAGCCACCTACTGTCATGACAGTACCCCGGATCTTATCACCAGAAACTGCCTATTGCCAAAATCTGGATAGCAAACATCCCGCCTCTTTTTATTCTGTTGATGTCTTCTACCAAAGCCTAACCATGAGTGAGCCTGTCTTCTTTTTGCCTGCCATGCCCAAGCTAACAGTTGTAGAGAATGGCGCAGAACCAGGCTGACTGGTTTCATGTTAAATTCGTATTTACATAACCCAGATAGGCACTCAGCACAGCTTCCTCCTGTGGCTCTCCAGCAAGCTGGCGTCCCCATTCTCTACAAGAATAGGTTCTTACCTTCTCCTCATTGTTTAAACCTTACTTCTTGTCTCTCTCATCACTCTTAGTAGTGACCTCACTTTTTGTTTTATTAAGAGAGTAGAGGCCAGAATCATGCAGTGGCTCCCTGCGCTGTGAATAAAATCCATACCCCCTTATGATGGCCCGTGAAGTCCTGCATGACCTGATTCATCCTTTTCCCCAGTTCATCTCATTCCCCTCTTCCCTTTGTTCACTACACTGACCTCTTTCAGATCCTCCAAAACGTCATGTGCTTTGCTCCTCAGGACCTTAGCACATGCTGGCTGCTCTGCCCAGAACACTGTTCTCCCCACTCCTTCCCGGTGTGCCTTCTCACTGCTCAGGTCTCAGCTCACCTGACACTGCCTCGTGGACTCTTATCTGTGTGGGTTGTTTCTGTGCCTTCAGTGCACTTAGCACAATTATAGTGAGATATGTTGGTTTATTTGTGTGCCTCCTAAGTGTAAGCTCCATGAGGGCAAGGACTGTATCAGTTTTGTGCACAGTTATATACCCATCCCCTTGTATAGTGCCTGGCCCTTACTCTATGCTTAGTAAATATTTGCTGAAGGAGAGCTTGACTGCTTCAACCAGGAACCCCCTTACCTTTCCAATACCAGGACCACATAGTATCTCTCTGTCTTTTAAAAGTTTCTGTTGATTTCCCACACCCATCAAGGTATGCCTATTTCTCCTGATATTCAAAGCAGACTTCTTAAAGCATCTTCCGCGCATGCTATCTTCTTCCTCACCTCTAAATTCACCCTTTAACCCACTTTATCTGGCCTCCACCCCCAGTGCTGTACTGAAACAGTTCTGGCTAAGGCCACCAATGACCTCCATGATGTGACATTCAAAGGGCCATTTTCTTTCCTCATCTTATCTCAGTTACAGCAGACTTCAACACAGCTGAGTGTTTCCTCCGCCTAGAAACATTCTTTTCTCTTGGCATCCGTGACACCATACTTCCCTGCTTAGCCGGACCTTCTTCTGTTCTCACCTCCATGCTCCCTTGAGATCAGTGCTTCACAAGCTTCTTGAACAAGGGAATCTCCTTGTTGGCTGTTGCCTTGTCTGCTTCCTCCTGAGATTCTGATTTACCAGGTCTGGTGTATAGCCAAGGCCTCGGGCTGTTTTTTGGTTTTGTTTTGTTTTTTAAGCTGAGCCGTCCTGCCTCAGCTCAGCTCGAGCCAGGAATCGAACTGGCAACCCGTGTTGCTCAGAGCTCGCACTCTTGAGCGAGCTCTTAACCAACTGAGCCACTCGGCCAGCCCTCCTCAGGGTTTTTAAGAGTTCCTCAGGTGGCTCTTCTGTACATAGTTGAGAACCACTGGTTTAGGGGACTTTCATATACTCCCATGGCTTTTACTATGATCTCTATGCTGATAACCTCCAAATGTATACCTCCAGCCTGGACCTCTCTTTTGACCCCCAGACTTGTGTATCCTCCTGCCTACTCAGCATCTCCATCTCACTGTCGGAAGCCTTTTAACATTGATGTTTAAAAATGAATTTTAAACCTAAATGTCTTCTCTCTTGGACTTTCTGTCTCAGTATAGTGCTCTGCCATCTACCCTGTTGCTCAGATCTGTCAGTCAATCTTGATTTCTCCAGCTGTTTCACCTTAATCCAATTTATCAGCAGGTCGTGTCAGCCCTTCCTTCAAATCTGGTCTGAAATCTGTCTTTATATCACCACTGCCCCTCACCCTAGTCCGAGCCACAGCATCGCATGCCTGGCCCTCTGTAGTAGCCTCCTGCACACCTCTGCATTGTCACACTAATCCCTTCAGCCCAAGTAATCTTCTCAAAATGTCAGTCAGATCTTGTCCCTTCAATGCTTAAATCCTTCAGGGGCTTCCTATCAACTCAGAATGGAACCCAGAATCCTGGCTGTGGCCTCTGAGGGCCCCGGTTTAGCCACGCCTGCTTCTCTGGACCAGTGTCGCCCCACTTTCTTTCTCGGGGCGCATACACTGTACAGCTCCTTCCTGCCTCAGACCCTTTCAGGACATTCTTCTTCTCAGAACCCCTAGCCCTCACCTCTTGGCCCAGCTGGCACCTTCCTATTCTTTTAAGTCTCTGCTTAAATGTTGCCTCCTTCAAAGAGATCTTTTCTGTACATTCCACCTAAATTAAGTTCCCATCCCTCCACCTTCCAGTTTTCTCAATCACAGCAATTTGTTTCCCCAAAAAATATTCATTGAATTAAGAAGTACAAATCGGCAGTTACAAAAATAGTCACAGGAATGTAAAGTACAGCATGGGGAATATAGCCAATAATCATGTAATAACTGAGGGTACTAGACTTTTCGAGGAGGTCACTTCATAAGTTATCCAAATGTCCACTATGGTGTACACCTGAAACTTATATGATATGGAATGTCAGCTGTAACTGAAAAAAAATAATTTAAAAATACTCTTTGAATGAATGATGAATGAACTTATATATAGTAAATGATGATTGTTGTACTGTATATAAGGTCATTTATTCAACAAATATTTACTGATGGCCTGAAACAAGGAGCAGATGATAAGTTTTTTTTGTTTGTTTTTTTAAAGATTTTATTGGGGAATTGGGGGAGGGGAACAGCGCTGGGGACTCAGGGGAAGGGGAACAGACAAGTTGCTGTCCTTTTGTTCTTCAGTCTAGTTGTGGAGGACGTTGCTTCACTGGCCCAAGTT